ATTACTGAGATTCATCTGTTAATAAGCTCCATAAGAGTTTATTTCACTTAATTTAGGATTTCACTTTGCACCCAGGACCGATCTTTTCTTTTAAGCTAACACTAAATTTTCGAAAATTGGACAAGATTCTGTTGTCCTTAAGAAGTCTTTGTCTGAGAGGATTGAGGTGTAGTTCCATTTAGAGACTATTCCTCTGATTTATCGTTGGATTTGTTAATCCTGCTTTATCACTTCATAAACACAATATTTATATCAAAGATAGAATGTGGTTGTTACTATTGTCTGTTGATAGTAAAGGATCAACGACTAGCAATAAGCATTCATTTTTGGGTTTTATTTGCTTTATAATGTTACATCACTTGCTCTTAGTTGTTATTTTAAACTATCATTTTCAGTCACTTGTCAATTTTAACACTTTCACCTTCAGGTACTCATCATGGACAAGGTAACTGTTAAAATAATGTCATACTCATGCAAGATGGCAGATATCACCGAGGAAGGAGTCTCATGTAAGATATAAAAGGCCGGTCTCATAAAAAAATTATATCTTTCTTCTTGGCACTCCTTGCCTTGCATTTTGTTCGGTGCTTTATTTTTCACATGCTATAGATATAATCTGTGTCCATATATTCCATTTTAGCATATTTCTTATAAATGTTCCAGTTTGCTTATTAACAATATTTAACAAAGAGCTGACAAGTCTGAGTTGGTACTCGCCGCTTTGAGCTTTCTTCATTAATTTCATATTCTTCTAATTTTTAGCGCCTCCATAAGTATTTTTTTAAGTGGCGTGATGAAATATTCATTTTGAATAAATATGAGTCTTGGTTTCTTGAGCTGTGGTAATTTATTTCCTGATAGATTTGGTTGGTCTGTATGTTGAAGATAAAATATAAATCAATAAATTGTTAGCTCTCAGCAGCCTGAGGTGGTTCAATATGGTATGATGTCAAAGGTCATGTTTTAAAGTGTCACGGTCAACCATTTATGAATTTTCCGTGGTTCAGGTTTTATATTGGAAAAATGAATTTGGTCTGCAGGTGTACGGGGGTGTCGAGATAAAGCGTAACTAAATAATCCCTCTATAACAACTTAAGCTTTTAGTTGAGTGGCTTAGCACCTTAACTTTGTAATGATTTAAGGAATGGCATTTAAATTTGTTGTGGATTCCCAGTAGTGTTATTGAAATATCTTCTCATATGCAATTCATTTGCCCAATGCTTGTTAATGATCAAAGAAATGTCTGCGAATTTTATCCTGTTTAGCTAAATGTCTCCTGTTTCCAATCCTTATTCCTTTGTTAAGTAAAATGTTGTATAATGCCTACTTTCTCAAGCTAGAATCATAAAATTATGATGTTAGGGGAAGAATCACATTGGGAAAATTGTTTTAAAAAATTACAGCTGGCATGATGATTTTAAATGAGTTATACTCAGGGGAGCTCTTTGCTTCTGAAGTCTCCCATGAACGTGGTCCTATCAGGAGAACCCTCTATCATATGTATTTATAGTGGGAAGTGGTACTAAACTGATCCCACAAAATGACAGTGCGTACTTGTATCCAGTAAAACTGATCTTATGGCTTGTGATGAAGTGGCTTTGACACAACATCTTATTTGAATTATATGTGTGAGCTTTGAGATTGTGATGTTACTAGTTTTCATGTTGCCTGCAGTGGTGGAAGACATACACAAGCGAAGGCAGCCTCTTCCAACCATGGATGCCATATATTTCATCCAACCAACCAAAGAAAAGTAATGACTTATCCCTTCCTTTAGTTTGACATCCTTTCGCTGTGTTACTTTAGGGTTTGGTTTTGAAACTCTGAGCAAGATAATTCAGCCATGATTTAGAGCATTGCAGAGTTTTCTTAGCATGAAAATCTTTCTTAGACTTTTGAAGTAAAGTACTTCCTGTGAATGCTTTTATAGGTATTTTAATCGAGGTGGTGCATCATGTTTGGGTTATTTGCATCTTAGTATTGTTCTCTGCTAAGTGGTCTTTTCCTAAGTAGCACTTACAAACATATGTTTATATATTAATCCTTTGCTAACAATTCTCAAGTTGTCACCGTGGGTCATGTCTTAGTGGATATCTCATCCTCCACGGTTCTATATCTTCTTCTATGTTTCTTTTTTAAATCATGAAAAATGAGTAGGTTTGCAATTCCAAGAGTGATGACTTGCAATTCCAAGTTCATAGGATGAGGTGTTTCTAATTAGAGTCATGTAGACTCGGAAGGATGGGAATGTTATAATATTGAGCAATGTCTTTTTAAGCTATTATTTTGTGTTTTAAAAGGCAGATCAATGCTATATCCTTAAGCAACAAACTAAACTAAACATTTACCCTGGGCTAGAGTACTCATTTTCATATAACATGGCCCAAAGTGTGTGAGATCTTTAGCTTTATTTGATTTTCTTGTGAGCTGAGGAAGCACAAACACCTACACACACATTTTCAGAAAAGTAGGACATGACACGTTGAGGATATTTCGACTAAAATAATATTATAACACTGTTTATTCTTTTTTGTAATTTTTACAGTGTAAAGCAAATAGAACATATTTATACTTGTTGTATCAAAGTACACATAACTAATATAAAACAAAATTGACATATATGTTTTCTCCTAACATGAAGTTCTACAAAACAAAAATGAAATAAATTCTATCATTTATCTTTAGATTCCTCTCCGACATCTTCATAAAATACTATTTCTTCTTATTCTGGTTCATCTATGTCCAGTTTCGACCCACGGATAACATGTTTCTATTCACATGTATATGCTTTTAATTTGAGAAAATTTCTAAACAATCAGATACTGCTTTGCTGAAGTTTCCCTGTTTGAGTTATTTGAAGTACAACTAGTTTTCTGGTTTCTTTTGTCTTTTTGTCTTCTTCTCTATCTTGTGCTCGTCAACCATTCATTTTGGTTTTTATGCAGTGTTGTCATGTTCCTTTCTGATATGTCTGGAAGAACGCCGCTATACAGAAAGTATGAAGTACTTTTTATTTTCTTCTTTTTTTCACATGTTAGTTTCTACCAACTTTTTGAAGTTTTTTTACCACTTCCAAAATATACAAAACTTTTTTTTGGATTTAGTTTGCTCATCTCTTTATTTTATTCCGTTATTAGGGCATTCATCTTCTTCAGTTCACCTGTTTCCCGGGAATTGGTTAATCACATAAAGAAGGATGCAAGTGTTTTATCTCGCATTGGTGCTTTGAGAGAGGTTATATTAACACTATCTCTTTTATGCTTTCATAGAGTTAGATTTGGTCTTTATTCTCATTTTGGGTCTGAAATCTGCAGATGAACTTGGAGTATTTTGCAATAGATAGCCAGGTAAATTATCCTGCAGATTCCTCTTACCCCTTTTTTTAGCATATGCAAGTGGATCTTTTCCCAAAAAAATTGATGGAGTTCTCAGCTGAACCAGCTGAGAATCGTAACCATATACAGCAAAACAGAATAGAGGTAGGATAAATGATGTAAAATGAATAAGAGAAGAGGGAGAAAAGCTGTTGATAGAATCAACACTTTCACTGAAATTCTGGCAAAACAAAACTGCTTTCTCCTCTACGCACATGGGTGTTATATATACACTCATAACCTACAGTGCTAAGGCGTATTTCACAGTGTAAATTTTATAAAACGTGTTCCTGATTTATTACAACCTAATAAGTAAAACGACGCCATCTTCATTTAACTAAACGGTGCCGTTTCCATTCCATTTAAAACTCAGTTAATTCAGTTGCTGATTTCCCACGTCTTCTTCTTCTTCTTCGTTTTGATCTTCCTTTCCTCTTCTTCCTTTGCCGGTTTTGCTGGTTCTAATCCTCCTCTTCCCCCACTTACTCCTTACATAACACAATGTGAAGAATGAAATTGGAAGCCTTTTTTTTTTTAATTATATGCATCTTGAGATGAAGCTTGTGCAATTTTGACTCCCTCCTCTCGAGTCATTTCCTTGTAGTGCTAATGCAAAGTGACAAGTGTCTTATTACGCCCCTGTTTGGGAACCATTTTGGCCAAAATGAGAATACAATTTATGACCGTTATCTCTCTCAGTGGGACCCAGTTGTGCAGCAGCTTTTGACTTGGCAGGAGGCTTTTTACGAAATTGCCATCACTTCTCTCATAAAAGGATTTTATTTGAAAGGGCAAATTGGTAATTTAACCAAATTCGGTAAAAAAACTGGCTCCCTTCTGACAATTACACTGTATAACAGTCGGAATTCATCTAAAATGAGGTAAAATTGAGAACCAAACAAGCGCTACATGTAATAATAAACTGTATCCACAGGGTTTTATCACTGACAATGAGAGAGTTCTCGAGGTACTCTTTGGGGATGAAGAAAGTTCTCGTAAAGGAGATGCATGTCTGAATTTGATGGCCACCCGCATAGCTACAGTCTTTGCATCATTGCGGGTATTATTCTGAGTTCTTAATTATTGGCTCATGATGCATAATTTATATAACTTTCTCACAGACTTGCATAATTGCACCCTGACAGGAGTTTCCCCTTGTGCGATACCGAGCTGCCAAATCCCTTGATCCTAATACAATGATAACGTTTCGAGATCTAATTCCTACAAAGCTTGCTGCTGGCATTTGGAATTGTCTTATGAAATATAAAGCCAACCTCCCTAACTTCCCTCAGTCAGAGACATGCGAATTGCTTGTCCTGGATAGATCAATAGACCAGGTGTTTATAGTCAATTACTATTTCCCCCATTGTTATTGCTATTGCTATACCTGCCTTTCTGAACATCCCAAAATGTCAGCTTATTTCAAAAGGTCAAACTGCTTGCTTATATAGAACTTTCCCAACACATGCACACAGAAAGATGAGCGCTCATTACTGGGCAAATAGTTAATAGATTCTAAATGTCAATGTGATAATTCCGTGCTTAAAAAGTTATTTTTCATTTTTTAATATCAAGCAAATGTTATGGTATGGATGGAGTATCATGCTGATGATCCCATGTTCCTTTTTCTGGTGTTTAACATTTTTATTTCCTCATGCAGATCGCTCCAATCATACATGAATGGACATATGATGCTATGTGCCACGATTTACTAAATATGGAAGGAAACAAATATGTACACGAGGTAATGCGTCGGCTTCTTATATCCCATCATTGCTTGATAGCACATATATTTCTCATTCTCCGATCTCTAGTAACATACTGCTCAGGTTGCTAGCAAAGCTGGTGGTGTTCCTGAGAAGAAAGAGGTTCTTTTGGAGGATCATGACCCTATCTGGCTAGAGCTCCGCCATTCACATATAGCTGATGTATGCGGAAGACACAAAAATCTTTGTTATTTCAAATTTGTTTATTCATTTATTTTTCGTCTTGAAGAGCTTTATCATGATTTTTCTAATGGTGGCTTTTGTCAGGCTAGTGAAAGGTTGCATGAGAAGATGACAAATTTTGTATCAAAAAATAAAGCTGCCCAAATCCATGGTTCAAGGTTGTGTTTAGTTATGTATCATTAAGATGGTTTACTGTTGTCTGAAATGCAGTTGGTAGGAATCAACTATTGAATTCTAGCTTGTAATATTTGTGAGATTTACACATCTTCTCATGTTCTGAGATAGCTGAATATAGATATTTTTTTGCTGCCATGAGATGGAACCTGGAGTTTCCACAGAGGAACAGGTGTTTATGATATATATAATGGAAAGAAGTCACTTCTTGTTCGTATGATGGTGTAGGAGCATCCGAAATGTTCTTTTTGTGAAATTATGATCTAACTAGCTTTTCAGTTTGATAACATAGATTAAACTTCCCTTGCATCCTAGGTTTTTCTGCATTTTAGCTTGTCTAGTTTAATATCCTTTGAAACACAGGCCTAGCCTTTTGAACAATGTTTTCCATTCACATTGAGTTCATGTCAGGACTCTCTTATTGGTCCCTTAAACGTGAAAGTAATGTTGCCTGCAAATAAGCTATATATGCAGGATGATAGTTTTTCAGATTTGAATTGGTATATTAAATCATGTTTGCTTTACCTAGTGTTTTGTAATAGTTCTGGTTTGTTAGTATTTACCCCGGTATTGTGTCTTTCTCACTATGCATTTATTTCTTGTAGAGATGGTAGTGAGTTGTCTACTCGGGACTTGCAAAAGATGGTACAAGCTTTGCCTCAGTATAGTGAACAAATTGAAAAACTCTCCCTCCATGTTGATGTGAGTGGGCCTCTTGTAACTGCAATTGCTATAGGTGTTTTAATCTTTAAACCATATTGTAGATTCTTCATCATAATTACTTTTACTGCAAGGATGAGTGTTTTATTTTTAATTCTGGGTGATCTTGTGTTCTAAAAACCTTCTCATACGAGGATGTTGCTATGACAATCAGCCATGGAGTTGTTTGCCAAATGTTAATTTTCTTCAATCAGTGTTCTGGTGAAGCAAGTTGGCATTTTACACACGCACATACAAAATGCTAACTTTCTGGAAGAGTTTCAATGGAGAGGTTTACTTTTGCCATGTCATACTATTTATTATCTGAACGTCAATAATTTTTTGTTGTATTTTTCTATTATATTAGAGATTGTCAATCAGTATTCTTACACAAGAAATCTTAAAGTACCAAACTTCGTTTTTTTTCTGAAAAAGTTCCCTGAGCATGAAAATTTACGAACTTAAATCTTCGTTGTCAAATCAAAGCAGTAGAATCTACATTGTTTAGTTCAGAAACCAAAGGTACTTAGGATACCATAATGCATGCCAATGTGATCTTCGCGAACTTGAAAATAAAACCTCCTTTTTACTTGCCTTCTTAGCGGTTGAAAAAAGCTTGAATTGTTGTATTGCTGATGCACTATGTAGATTCATTTTGGAATTCTTTTTTTGATAGGTAATCAAATAATTTTATTAATCAAAGAAGAATACCCAGAAAGTGTATTATCAACTTAAATAAGAAAGAAAAGACGNAAAAGAATACACAGGAAGTGTATTATCAACTTAAACAAGAAAGAAAAGACATGAAGTTCGGCAGCCCCTCTATAAAATTACTAGTTGCGGCATTAAACCAACTATATAAAGTGAGGAAAAAGAATTCTCTAAGTTGCTCTGTGGTTCGTGTTTGGTTTTCAAAACATCGGTTGTTCCTTTCTCCCCACACACACCATAAAATGCATCCCGGGATAAGATTCTACACGAACTTGCTATCCTTATCATGAAGCTTTCTCCTCCATGCCCGCAACACATCCTCTATACATCTAGGCAGCACCCAATCTATAATGGAAAAAAATGATATACTTGATTTCATTGAGTAACAATTGCTATCGGAAAAAATAGAAACATATATATTCAATAACAGAAGAAGCAACAAATTGAGATTTTTGCTAATAATACTTCACTCATTCAGATTGCTGGCAAAATTAACAAAATTATCAGGGAACTGGGGCTTAAAGAAGTTGGGCAACTAGAGCAGGATCTAGTGTTTGGTGATGCAGGAACCAAAGAACTTATAAATTTTCTGAGAACAAAACAGGTGAGAATGGTATAGTTTGTGTAAAAAAGTAGCTTAGCATTTGTGTAAAAAAATGTAGTTCGGCATATTCATTTCGATGGTGTAAGTTGTAAATGCAATGACTCTTTTTTGGCAGGATGTGACGCGTGAAAATAAGCTGCGGTTATTGATGATTTATGCAGCTCTTTACCCTGAAAAATTCGAAGATGATAAAATTACAAAACTAATGGAGGTTAGTGCACTTATTTTCAATTTAACTTTCATTCCTAGACCCCTTCACTTCTCAAATTTGAATTAAGATCAGACTCAATTTCACTAAGTTGTCTCAAGCTAGTATTACACTTGAGGTCTTGAAGATGTTACTGGACATTCAATAAGATGAAAAGTCAGAAGCACAATTACCGTATATCTATATCTGCATGATATCTCTGACAAAATATTACCATTGTAATATATTTTGAAATCAAGAAACTAGAACCTGTTACACTTTCAAGTCTTGTGGTTTCAATAATTTCTAACAACCTATGTTACCAACCCCATGGAAGCCTGCTTTTTACTCAAGCCACAAGGTCAGTGACCATCACACTTTAAACTGACCCTAAGCCCCAAATTGCTAATAATGATTGCATTAGATGAACTTTCTTCAAATGTCTCTAAATGAAGAGTTCAGTGTTGAATGGGTAGAGGTATAGTCTTCCTTCTTGCTTCTTACTTGACAACCCAGAAAAGTCCTATGTGTCTGTTTCAATCCTGATATTGAACCACCAAGTCAGGAATCTTTGAAAGCATTGATAAATGGACTGGAATATACTCGTCACTGGTTCACGCGTTAACCGTTCACGCTTTAACCATTACCAATTGTTGAAATGGGAAAAAAGAAGTGTTTCAAACCTGTTGTACCGTGCTGTTTTGTTATAGGAGATGACAACATTGGTGACCTGACGAGCTCATAAGAACAGGCTGTCTGTAAGTGTTAGAAAAGTTTAGTACGAATAAAACAGGGTTCAAGAGGGAAAAATGCAACCAAAGCTGCTGAAACCCTTCTCCACGAACCATTATTTGGAACAATAGGTGGCAGATTTTGGTTCCTGAGACCTGAAAAGGTGGGCAGATTGTGCCAAGTGATTCATAACCCTTCCCGAGGCACGTGTCTTTTGTGTACTATGGTTTTTTGGTTGCGCAAGTCTCATCATTCTGTATCACCCTGGACGTAACTTTATGAATTACCAAGTGATTAGTAACTTAATAGATCTTTTGGACTCCTTCCACCAATATCTATGCACAAACCTGATTTTTCTCCTGTTTGAAAGTCATTTGTGAACTCCGCACGTTACAAGTGTTAGCATTTTTTTTCCTGGTATTGATTATAATAAATTAACACTTGGACACATTTCCTTCAAGTTGGCAAGCTTACCACCGGACGATATGAATGCTGTGTATAATATGAGACTGCTGGAGGCATCAGCAGAAACGAAAAAAAGCTCAATTGCATCCTTCTCTCTTAAGTTTGATGCTCACAAGGTATTTGGATTTTCGAGTTAAATTAAACCCTGCAACAAACATTTTAGTTATCTCATTTTCACTTGCAGAAGAAACATGCTGCTAGAAAAGACCGTCCAGGTGAAGTAGTAACATGGCAGCTATCTCGCTTTTACCCTATGGTAGAGGTATGATATTTATTATGTAACCTTTGCCAAGCAGAATGGACACACACACACAAGGTGTATGTATGAAGTGTTTTTGCACTTTGACATATAGGGTGTGTAATTGTTCTTGTCCTGATTTTAGACGAAGGCTATCAGATAACTTGCCTTGTTTAGCAAGTCTATGATATATGTGGTAGAAACTGAAAAGTTGCTTATTTTGAGGAATGAAAATATTAGATAATGGGTGCAGGGGAGGAGGCACATGGGGGGCGGAGAGGGGCGACAGCCTCGGCAAAATTCTTCCCCGCACTAGAAACATTTTTAATTTTTATTTCTCAATAGATATATAAAAACTACATTAAATTCCAAACTTGAGTATTTTGACAAGAATTACTGTATACTACTGGTAGAAGTTTTACTTTGTGGCTGCAAAGTACGTGGTTCAAGTCCCAGAACCTCACTGTTAATTTTCCCCCACTTATCTTTTTCCGAACAATTTGCACGATTCCTACTAACCTTAATATCTACAGAAAATTCATTCTCAACCTTTAACATTGAACTTTTCCATCCTCAAGCGTCTGTACTATTTGCATAATTTGTCCTTTTTACATAATTCCATCAACCTTTTTGCTGGCCCCCAAACTCAAAATTTTGGCTCCACCACTTGATGTCATATTTATTCCACCTCCTACTTCCACAGACATAGTGCAAACACAAACCCTAAAATACACACTTTGACGATGATGCCCAAGGATAACTCAAGTGTGTGTGTGTCTTTTATCATCTTATGGGTCCTCTTTTTTTATTGCTTGTCTATGGTTTACGGCCTAACCATTTTGAAATTCTCTTTGTGCATTATGAAATGATGAGGCCTAGAGGTGAACACAATTCGGTTTGGGTGGTTTTTGTCCTATTTCCAAACCAAACCATTTTTGTGGTTTGGTGCAGTTTACCTACTGACATTATAGTAACGCAGTTGAAACAAGTTCAAATATAAGTAAATTGTTCTAAAATTCTCAATACAAGTTTAAACAGGAACGTTTTAAACATATATGTTATATTACATTAGTATTTGAGTTTAAATGGGTTGGGTTTAATTTGAATGCCATTCGTGACAATTTTTTTAGGCCTACTTCCCTTGATTGAATGGGGGGTTTAGTATTACCCTTCCCGAGTATGTTAATATTGATTGAGGTACACTGAGAAGGATATAAAGGCATTACTTCAATTAAATTGCATTTGAAATGAGAAAGAATTCTAGTAATGCTTCTGAGAGACGGGGTTCTTGTTGGTCACAACTTATGGAACTATTTTCATTTTCATTTTTTTTTCCTGCTGCAACACATGCCCATGCCATTTGTCTATGATTTGGATTACTTTCAGGTTGCACAGAAATTGAACAGAAAATACAGTATAACATGACATATGAAAAGGCAATTCTTGCAAAGTGATGCGTAAAATACATAGATAATGTAATTTTGTAATAATATAATAGTTCAGATATTATTTATCTCAAGTGAGATTTAATTTAGTTTAGTTTAATAAATTTCTTTCCTGAAAGAATAGTTTTATAAAATTTATTGATGCCTTTTAGATATACTACATCTCTGTAATATTTTCCATTGCATTCTTGATTCCTAATTACTTTACTTCTGTGTTCAATAATGATATTCTCTCGTATTTACGTATTCCAGTATATTATATAGTTCAGACTCTCATTCTTTGTGTTTGCTTTCTTTCTTTCCTTTTTTTTCTCATAATTTTGTACATGGTTTGGTGGTTTCAAACGGTTTTGAGCAATTGAAACCTAAACCAAACCATTACAAAGCGGTTCGGTTAGGGTCAAAACAAAAACGTTGACGGATCCACGTAGAGCCAACGGTTTTGGTTCGTTTGGAGGGTTTTGTGGTTTTCTTGTTCACCCGGCCCCCTTTATATTCCCTATCCATACTTCATACAATAATATAGAAATGTAATTTTGTAATCTGTTTTGTTCATCAAGTGAGGAGCGCTCTACATCTGCAGCGTATTCATGTAACCTGTGAAAGTCTCTTGCTGTTAACTTTTACATAGTTAGACCCTTCATTTTCAGACTGCCTCAAATTGATAATGGTTTTTCTTTTGTCTCTTACTTCAATCCTCCGCATATTTCAAGCAATAGATTTGTGCTTCAGTCTTCTTTCCTACTAATATGCTCAAGGCACTAGTTGTATGGTTACTTGGTGTTGATTAATAAATAAATCCTTTGATCTGAGTGGGGTTTAGTACATATGAAGAATAGATTTGGCAGTTATCATTTAAGTTTGCGTTTGTTGAAAAGAGATTGTTGTGCAGAATAGTTGTACTTCATGCCAGTTGTTCAGTTTACAAATGTTCATGATATTCATACCAAAGATCCGATTCAGTTTTCTAAGATAGCTTGAAACTAGTTTCTCCTTCGACTGCAATTCCTTCGCATAAAGTGATACGGGCTGCATATAGAAGTTTGATGAGTTTTATCCAATTCTGCAGTTTCATATTTACTGTATGACATATTATTGGATTATAACTTACAATAGATCCTTGACCCTCATGATGTTTGATAATATTTCTGTTATCCATTCGTCTAGTCTTCTTCAGTATGTTCTGTAATGCTCCATGCTTTTAGTATTAATAAACAATGAAGTGGAAGAAAACTTAAGTGATAATTTTGCACCATGGAGCAATGTGGAATTTAACTGTCATCCCTGTACTAAGTACTGCATTGTTTAGTCCTTTTCTTTAGTGCCGTGCTTCAAATGAATGGTAGTTTATTGATGCCCCTTCCAGGAACTAGTTGAAAATCTAAGTAAAGGTGAACTTCCAAAGAATGACTACCCATGTATGAATGACCCAAGTCCATCTTTCCATGGAACCTCTCAGACAGCATCATCAGTACGGACAGGTCAAGGTCCAGCTCCTCATTCAATGAGATCAAGACGGCCTGCTACATGGGCCCGTCCTCAGAACTCTGATGATGGGTATTCAAGGTAAATTATGACTGGCTTTCATCTTATGTCGGTTACTTTCTTTTTCTATTGTTTATGTGGTGCCATGTGAAAATCAGCCTTTTGCTCAACTTCTTTTGATAAACTAAGAACCTTGTATATTATTGATTATTTTCTCTCTCTCTCTCTCTATATGTTCGATTTGACACTTCCTGATGGCTTTTCTTGTATAATTTACTACGCCTAACTCAATAAAGACTTTTCCCCTACAATTTATCCAGATTGAAGATGAATTTGACCATTGTAATTGAGATAAGCACTAAGAAATGTTACTACCCTTTTAAAAGATCATTATGTTGTTCCGAATTCCATGGTCTTTGTAAATTACGTTGCCCAGTTTTTCTCTCTGAGGTCCCGTATGGAGCCTCTCCTCCCAAAATCCAAAAACACCCCACCACCACTTACCCAGCCACCCATTACCCAGCAACCCTCCCTTCCTGTCGACGCCGGTGACGGCGAGAAGACAGAAGAACAGCATCCTACCGGCCTCACGCCACATATTTTCCAAAACCCTACTGAACTCGGACATGAAAGGGGCTCTTGGACCAAAACCTAGTTTGACCCCTCTCCGGCCATCAGACCTCTAGACGCGCCTGACCGGCGGCCTGTGCAGGCATTTCTGACGTCGGGGGGTGCCTCTCCGGCGTCGGACCTGCCGGCGCGTGTGGCCCACGCGCCGGCGCCGGAAAAGC